GTGTCCAGGAACCTCTGTCTCATCAACTTTGTGCTGATCTGAACGTAAAAATATATTTCCTTGTCTTCCGTTGGTAAATGATCTGTTCTAGAATTTATTTTCATATCTACTGGGTGGGTTAGTTAATAATCTTGAGGAGATACTATTTTATTTGTCTTGGAGTTGATCTCCCATGCAAGTTATTTTTAAAAGATAAACGACAGGCCAGGGACTTCAGAGAACTCATAGGAACAGATTGTATGACTACTTTTTCCTGCTAAGAAAACTGCACAATATTTGCCTGGGTTACCAAATTTTATTTCTGCCCTTTTTCCATTATAAAATAGACTCGCTGGTCAGATTCTTTATGAGGAGGTATAAAATTCTTGGGCACTGCTAGTATTTACTGAAAGGAAGTTGGTAATTCTTGAATGAATAGTGGTTTAGGTCTTTTTAGAAGTTTGTGGCTAGTGTTATGGGACGTGCAGAGACTGCTTGCTAAGATGAGGCCAAAGAAGCAGCACTTCTCCTGGGAAGTCAGAAGACAATGAAAAGACTGCCATGGGGGCCCTCGGAGACCACTGCAGGAAGAAGCGGGGCAGACCCAGAGAGAACAGAGTCAGAACATTAATTCGATAGGTGAATCCCTTTCCCATGCTGGGGTCAGATCATATGGTGGGGCCTGCAGAGCCAACCTGGCAAAGGAATGATCAAGACCAGCTGTCCATTCTTTCTGCTCTATTGAGTGGTACTCAACAGCTCAGCCTAATTTCTGAGACACTTACAACAGCCAGAGCGATGAAGCAAGCAAAGATGGTGTTGAAGGAGGAGGTACTCAAGGATGGCCCAAGAGATGAGGAGGGCCTGGGTTAGAACTTGAATACTGCACAGTGCTTGGGTTTTAATGAGGAAAAACAAAACAAAACATTTGTACCACAGAAAGCAAAATATGTTTTCTGGAGAAATTGGGGTTCATGATGTATTAAACTTCAAGACAAAAAGCAAGATTATGTTAGCTTTCCTCAGGGCGTCAACTGTGCCTATCCCTGCGTCTCCTTTTTTCCTCACATTTTTATATTTATTTATTTAGTAGTACGTGATTGCTGCACATAACAAACACATTCATCACAGGACTGTGTCTCCTGCTGGAGGATCCTTTACTGCCCCTGAATGTGCCTCTTTTTCTCTCTCTCTCTCATCACCCTTCTCTGCATTTGCAACTCTCTGTTCTCTGTCTGGAATCCACAGGCTGTTGGCTGTGTGCGTGCTTCATCTGTGTCATGGTTTCTATTCAGATGTTTCCCCAAAGTCTGTGCATACAGTTGGGACCTTTGAGAGATGACTGGATGGCACGGTTTATAGCAAGCTTGTTAGGAGGCAGGGGCTGCCCGAAGCAGTGGGTCACTGGAGGCATAAGCGGTAAGGGTTCCTCTTCCTCCCTCCCTCTACCCTTCCCCACTCTCTGCTTCCTGTCTTCCTTGCAGGAGTAGCTCTCCTCTGCCACAAGCCTGTGGCTTGGGGCCAGCAGATTATGGATTAAAATCTCTACAATTTGAGCCAAAATAAACCCTCCTTTTAGTTGTGGTTGTGGGGTTTTGTATCCCAGTAACAAGGAAAGTTAACTAGGGCTGGTGGTGTTGGTACCAGAAATGAGGTGGCCAAAACAGTGGCACAAGACCATGTGGTTCAGCAGCCTTTGGAGCAGACTCATAGAAGGATATTTGAAAGGCCTGGAGATGCTGTCTGGGGAAGCCTACCTAGAGCTTTACAAACCAAGTTTGGTGGCAAATTATACCTGGAACTCAGTTTGCTGCTAGAGATTCAGACTGAAAACCAGACTCAGGAGGTGTGAATTCAGAACAAGGACTCCAGACCGTGTGCATTATGCTCTGACAGAAGGGTTTTTTTCTACATTTTGTTCATGTCCTAAGACTGCAGGAAATGAAGGGCACCAGATCCATCAATCTGTTGGAGAAAATTTCAAGGCAGTTCAGTGTTTGGGCTGTGGCATGGGTACTGCGCATGGCTTTCAGCCAGCCTTATACTGAAAATCAACAACAAACTGCACACCTAAAGCTCCCATAAGGTTGGGCTTTGTAAAGTTGAGTTAAAGAGAGCTTGGCCACTGTTATATTAGCATTTCAAGAACCCAGGTTTTGGGGCAGGACTCATGAAAAATGGCTTAAGGGCATGCCAGGAAAGAGCACAACCCAGCCTTTGGTCTGCAAAAGTGAAAGACTTTGCCTTGAGAGGAGAATCCAGGGCTGCAGTTATAGTTCAGTGTCACAGTGCCTGCCTGGCAAGTGTGAAGTCATGAGTTCAATTCCTGGTTCAGAGAGGGAGAGGGGGAAGAGGGGGAGGGGGAAGGGAAAGGGAGGGGGAGGAGGAAAAGATAGCAAAAGAGCAGGCTGCATAGAGAATTGATTTCACAGAATGCAGTTCACCACACTGTCCGAGAAAAACTACAGGGGTTAAGCAAAGCCAGTTTATGAGAGAAACCATGGGGGCTACAACCACCTGCAGTGCTGCAGGGTGTGGCCGGCCAAGCCATCTGGGGAGCACCTCTTGCCACCACTTTCACCAGTGCTGCATGTGGACCGAACTGACCTACTGTTCACCCTGGGGGCTTTGGTCTTGCTTTGGGCCCATTGGTTTTTATGTTTGTGGAATAAGCCTGTTTACCCCATCTTTTGTAGGTCAGCAGTTTTTATTTTAGTTTAGTTTTGATTTTCACAAGGATTCACAGCTAAGAGTTTGTTTTGAGTCTCACAAGAGACTTTAGCCCTGGACTTTGCTGCAATATTGGAACTGTTAGGAATTTGGCAACTCTTAAGAGATGAACTAAATGCATTTTATGTAAAGAGCTGCAGTTGGATCTTTTGCGAACTGGGGAGAAATGTTGCAGTGTTTGTCTAGGTGTTTCCCCAAAGCCTCCTGTACTTACAGGTTGAGCTTTAGCAGAGGGATTGGATTATGGGGCTCATCACTAACCTGCTGTTGGGCTGTAGGATCTGCTCAGAAGAGGTAGCTAAGGAGGGGTGTGGCCTGGAAGGACTTATCCTTCTTCTGGGCTCTGCCATTCCTTGCTGTCTGCTTCCTGTTCTCCATGCTGTGAGCAGCTCACCTCCTCTGTAACCCTCTGCCTTGCTGCCTCGACTCAGAGCTGCTGACTCTGAACTATACCACCCCCCTCCTTGCTTTAGTTGCAAATATTGAATATTGTGTCCAAGAGATGACAAAAAGAACTAAGACAACCTGCATTGTAGGGCAGATTATTGCTTAAATCCTGTGCTTCTCTCAATCAAGGAAATAGGGTGTGTGCCCTTTGTCTTATTTTTGAGATGATATCTGGGTATTCCTTGACATTAAATGACAGATAGGAGCTCATGTGCTTCTATTTGTGGAGGTGACAAGTGAACAATGGTATCACCTTTTTATCTGTAGTTAAATTTTACTTTCTGAGTTCAGGTAACAGGAACATACATTCTATGAAGGTGGAGGACTGTTTTCCTCACTGTTCTATCACTATTGCAAGGCATACCCATGACATTCAACAGTAGGGGTTAAATGAGTACATTTTAATTATTGGAATGATATTACTTTCAGTTTTGTTGTAGCATTTGTCTGTGTCTTTGTGGACAGGATGACAGAGGAGATGGACAGGTGCTGGGGGTGTTGTCAGCCGCAGGACCCACGGTTGAGTTCCACAGAGGCATCAGACCCAAGGTTAATTTGAGCAGGCTCCAGGCGCTTTGCCTTGAAATAGGTTAGCCCCTGGAGCCCAGGGAAAAGCTAGATGGTTCTTTAGCTTGTGGGTATGGTGCATGAATAGAGAACCAGGAGGCATTCAATATGTAGGCACCCAGGGCTGTAACAGGTGTTCTTTTTGTCGCCTGCCTCCCTCATCCCAGTGAATAGAATTTATTTGTCAAGTTTCAGTTTCTGGAAGGAAGGTGTGACAAAAGTCTGATATCACCCAGGGTAAAAACTAACATACTGAATTAGAAATGTGAGTGTCTGTGTCCCCTTTGTAGGATGGCTGGCTTCAGATGGAGAGAGGCTGTGACCAAGACCACTGTTCTTCCAACATTAGAAAGAGTGACACCGTCAGTGCATGAGAACAGGGAAAGCGATCGGTGACGGGAACCCTTTGAAGCTTTCAGGGGTGACAGATAGCCTGCTGCAGCCCGCCTGCCACCTTCACTGAAAAGGTGGGGAGGGGTGGAGTCCACCGTGGAATCCTGGGACATAGTAAAGCAGGGCTGTTCTGCGTGCATATGCGCAACTGTCAGTCCTTTTGAGTCTTAAGTGTACCTCCTTTCTGTTTTCCGTCTTTCTGTTTTCCATCTCCTCCTCTTCCTCCTCCTCTCCACCTCTGGCTACCCTTACCCCTCCCATGTTCTTCCTCCCAAACAGCAAGCCATACTTCTGTAAGCACAGGAAAATTCTGTAGTTAATGCTTTTATGGTACAAGAAGATAAAATTTAACATATAACTCAGAATAATCTAGGAACAATGTGTGGGGCCTTTTCGAGTTGAGGAAATACGTAAAGATGAGAAAGAATGTTTTCTTCTGCTACACAGGTAGAGCCTAAGAATGCATTTAGAGTCATCTCCAGTGAGCGAGCATTTAGTGTCATCTTGAGTCTTTTCACTAACAGAAAATACAAAAGAAACGGGAAATTGTTGGCATCATTTGTGAAGCAAGAGAAATCACAGTGTATGTTTGTTGTTTTTGCTTTTGAATTAGCTGGAGAAGGACAGCTATCTATACACGAAGAGCATCTTTTCTGCCTTGTTTTCTTAGTTGAACACTATACCTTTTTTAGTGACCTGATGTATAACATCTCAAGATGCGGTTTTCCTCTCCTTTTTGTCTGACTGGTGTAATTGCACTTTCTTTGGATGTGTAATAATTGGCTAAAGTAAGTACAGCATATTTTACGGAGTTGGATGTGGTGAAGTCTTCACTGTTATTCTTGGAAGAGAGGGATGCTGAGTTCTTTTGGTTCAAGGAAGACTCACTTGGATTGCTGCACAAGGCCAAGCCCATGCAGTAGACCGGAGGCCCAGCCAGGGGGCTGGTCTTCACCTGAAGTCAGAGAAGGGACTGCGATTCAGAAACAAAAACCGACCCGTGCAGCTCTTCAGGCAGGTTGTCTCTTTGTCCCTAAGTGCTGGAGCTTCTTTTGTGAGGTCCGGAAGCGATACAGGTCCCTTCTACCTTGCTCTTTCTGTTGCTAAGAGCACTATCTCTTGGATCCTGTCTCACAGGGCTGCTCTGGCAGCTTCTAGTCACACATTGTTATTCTTCATGACTTCTGCTGACTACTAACCTGGATGAGGCATTTTCTTTCTGTGTGCCTTTTGCAGTCTGCTCCAACTAGTAACAGACTGATCCAGTCAGGGCAACTTCTGAGTTCAGGGCCCTCCTAGTTGTTCTGCTGAAACAGAGCTTCTGTTGCCATGGGGAGTGTGTTCCGTGTAAGCTGTAGGGATGTCGGCTTAGCCCGTGGCTCATTCTAGCCTTTTGTGCTCCATGCACCAAGCTGGGGCTGCTGTTGGATGGGTTGACTGGAATGGCAGGTGTTTGCAAGACCCACAACTGGCTGGCTAGAGCTCAGTGAGCAGTCACTGGTGAGTGGAGGCCATGGGTGGAGGACCCGCAGTGTGTAGGCTGGGGACCTGCTCATTCCTGGCCTTCCCCGTGTTTCTGCTTTGAGGAAAGCCACCTGCTAATGAGAAATAACTATTTCCCACACAGTTTTTGATGCTTTCTTTGTATCTTTATTGTTTTATTTTTGCCTCCTCATTTGGTTCACAAATTTCCCTCCCAACTTAATTTTTATTCATTATTTTATGGGTACTTCAACCTGTGGGTGACACTTAAAGATGCATAAACAGCTTTACAAGAAGTTAAACTTACTTGATAATGTTGACATCTATAAGTACTTAAGGTATTTCACTTTTTAAAAGTAATAGAGTTTGCATCTTAGAGTCCTGGCTCTATTTTAAGAAACGTTTTCTGTAGTCTTTGAGTTGTCTCGTGTAACATTCACTAAGCACACAGAATTGGAAGACATGGTTATCTTCCAAATAGTATTTGTGCTACTTCTGCACTTTTGTGTAACTGGTGTGTGTGTGTGTGTGTGTGTGTGTGTGTGTGTGTGTGTGTTTTGTCCTTTGACTTTTTTTTTTTTTTTTGTATTTAGCACAGGGTCTACAGGGTCACAGAGTCTACAGGGTCTCACTACCTAGATCAGACTCATAGTGATCCTCCTATTTACAGCCTCCCAAGAGCTGGGATTATAGGCACATGCCACCATGTCCAGTCTCAAGTTCTTTGAGTTTTGACTGGTGGAACCTATTGCCTATTGGTAAGGTGTTTTTTTTTTTTTTTTTTTTCTCATTTTCTTTTCTCATCCAAATCCTTCTCACACATCTGTTAGACATTTACTGTGTATTAGGTACAGAGAAAGTGATGTAATTTTTTGTCTAATTTGGACAAACAGTAAAGCTGTGGTTGTTGTGCTTGTAACACAGCTGACAGAATGTAAATAGTGTGAATACTACAGCTTTCCTTGTGAGGTATCAACTTCTGTTCATTTGTACAAGCATCTGTTACAGTCTTTCAAACTTTGTAGTGTGTCTATTTTCTGCTGTAGCAGATATTCTTGGCAGGTATTAATAGAAAAATAATAAATGTCATTATTTTAATTGCCAACAATTCATAGCATGGAGTAGTTTTCCTCTAAGACTATATTTTGTCTGTAGTGGGTAAGGAATTTCTTTTTTAGTACTATCAATAAATCATTAAAAGTTCACACCCATGAAAAGTGAAATCAAATGGTCAAATTTCAGCTTGCAAACAAGACAGGCTATCCTCTACTTATCGGAAAGAAGTCAAGTCATATTGTTTGTCTGATTCTACTAATTCATTACTGATTTTGTCTTTGGTAAAAGAAGGAAAATATAGCTGGACATACGGTACAGAGTTGTTCTTGAAATAAGGTGTCACTAGGTCAATGAAAATATGGTGAAGGGAAACAAATTCGTCACCATCAGAGGCTGACTCAGTTTGTACAGTGTAACTTAAAAATTGAGAACTAAATGAGATGCAAGCTATTAACAGATTGCTATTTCGGCACTGTGAAAATCATTCTTGTAACACGTTGCTTGTGTGTTTCCCCTACTCGATAGCAAGCTACGTTTCTGCATCTGTATTCCTAGTTTGCAGTCCAATGTCACCCGTAGGGCAGGTGTTGGGGAAATGTTCATTGCAGGAATACCACTGGGAGAAGATGAGGAAGGAGCAATCCTGATCGTACTGTAATTGATTCTTGTAAGCCACTTGATATAACTTCTTAGTCGTATTTTGTTGAGAGACATAAATTCACTAGTGTAGCTAAGTCATTGATTTGGCTGCACTTCAAACAATGAAGCTGCGAGAGTTTGTCCTTTTATTTGACTTAATAAATAGTTGTAACAAAATATAAAAATGATGTGCTCTGGGCAGTATTGTCCTTATTAACTGTATTCTGTATCATTCTGATTTACCTCTTTTCATGCATAGAAAAGCGATGGCCAGGTTACTCAGTTTTATCTAGAGATGAGTTCTCC